ATAATGTACTTCAAAATAATATTCCTAATCTCGATCAAAAAGAAAAAGAAGATATATTTATCTAAATAAGCAATTCATTTCTCGAGAACACTTCGAAAAAAACTGGCAAGAAATAGACTCGTTCAAGAGCTGACTCCTAAAAGGCTGTTAACGTGTAAAGAAATATTTCAATCGCAAGACCGGAGAAATAATTCGAGGGCCCGATGAGATAATAAAAGATTGGAAGAATCCGGCGGCAGAAAAACAACCCTCGCGAGAGTCAACCCCGTTTCTACTCCTGTTCTCCTGTTGTAAAAAGCCTCGAGCCATCCCAAATCGAAGCCCGTTTGACCGCGAGGCCGATATACGTTCCTCCTGTGGGCGAACAAAGAGGAATATCGTGGATTTTTCGCGTGTCACACTTTCTCCAGAACATAAGTCGCTATTCCAACATTCCTTCTTTCGTCTGTCGTCGAGTTTGTGGACAACTGATAAGACGACGACGCGTAGAAGGAAATCGTCGTTTCCTCGAAGGAGCAAAGAAAGGCCTCGATAGATGATAGATAGGATGCCGCGCGCTCGAGCAAAGGAGAGACGAACACGAAGCGGCCTCAGAGCGAATGATTCGATAGAGGTAGCATGCACGAAATTCGGAACAAGAAGCCAGAGGAGACGAGAGAAGTGGTCGGATCAGATAAAATGTTGGCCTTTGTATTATAAATGCCTGATACGTAGAAGCTGAAGATCATCTCAACGCGCGATGTAATGAAAAGCAGTTATATACCTGTATAATGAAACAGACCGCGCGTGCTAAATGGTCTTCAATGCTGCGAGATTAATAGATAATTTGCTTCGAGTGGATGTACCGATCGTTCCTTTGTATTATTATTATTATTATTATTATTACCTTGCAAAGATCAATTTTTTTACAGTTATTAGGTGAAGATTAATTACATTAGTTACTTCGCGAAAATTAGCTTTTTTTTTCATTAAATTGATGGAAGATGGTAAATATTTTTGTGAGCAATGTACGTCGTTAAAAACTCTTTAATACGAGCTTGTTGCTTTATCAAATTTACTAAACTGTATGAAAAAGAATAACTCCGCTTGCTGCTACGTTTAAATGGAGAGGATCATATAAATCACTTGTTTGTTTAGTTCATTTACAATTATCAACTACAACTTGACAATTTATTTTTAACGAAATTGTCGAAATAATATATTTATTCTTTCATTGGCATGCTGTATTATAGAAGAACTTATAATCAGTTCGCTTACGAACAATACATAAATAAATGATAAAACAAAATTGGTTAAAGACGTAATATTGGATCGAGTTTCAAGTAACACGCTCCATATGAAAATTAATGGAAATCCATGGATTGTGATTTGAGCGTACTGAGGAACTTGAAGTGCAACGATAAGGAAGCATTGCTTGTGTATAGACGTAGATACGGAATAGCTATGAAGCTTGAATTACTATAACTGTCGGTGAACCTCTTTAACTAAAATGCTATCCTATTACGATGGAAACACGAAAGTGAGTGACGAACAAATACGAAACATCGACCTTAAGGAATTTCTACCGGTATGGAAAGGAAAACGCATTTTTTGTTGCATTTCCCGTTTTCTAATGTTCAGTTTATTTATACCAGTAATTGCATCAGTTAGTACGGTTAGCATTAATAACGTTTGCGTACGGTTATTCCTTCAATGAGAAAACGGCTTCCATTGACGGATACTTAACGCTGCGTAAAAACGTAAAATAACGCTCGTTAACTTTCTCTCTTATGAATTGTTTAACACCAAATGAACGAACGTGTTAAAATTCAACATATCGAAGCATCAATTTTTAAAACGGAAACTTTAATCCGTATGATTTTATGCAAATTGCATATGCATCGGCGTGAATTGTTGCAGAATGTTTCTTTCGAAAGACGAATTATTTTGCAATGGCATTTGTTTATTTACGATAAACAAAAAACGTGAGTTCCACAGGCCTGGATTCTGTACTGTATACTACTTGAAAATTCCACAGGCATTGCCAGCATGCATCCCATCGTTATAAACATTTATTCCCTGTATTTTTTTATATTTTCTAAGTATTCCGAACGTCGTATCTTCAAGTATATAAAATACACAGAATATACATCAGCTTGTACTGGTCAATAAGCATTTGCAAAGTGAATAATTTAAAGATAGGAAATAATTGAGTAATTTAAACGAAAGATTACAAAATAGTTGAACTTGTTTGAAAGCAAATTTGTTGAAAAACTAGAAAGTTCCCCCGCTGAAATCAGGTGGAAATTGCATTTGTTTAATTGCAATAAGCTTTGTTCTGTGTAAAAATTACGAGCACGCATTTAACGCCATTGCGTGACAGGGGGGAGAGGAGAGG